CAGGACAGCCTTGTTTGGTGCGGCTGGGAGATCAACTTCTCGCACGACACCATTCAGCTTGTGTCCGCTAAACTGACCAAGCTGGACGCCTTGATCAAAGCACTGCTGGGGAGCAAACGGGTACTCCGAAAAACACTCGAGCAGTGCATAGGCCTGCTCGTTTGGGCCACAAGCATTGCGCTGCATCTGAGATCCTGGCTAGCGCCACTATACTCGGACCTCAACAGCCCACCAGGCTCGATGCACTCAATACCACCTCAAATGTGGTCTGCCTTCAGAGCATCCTTGAACAAGGATCTCAAAACCAGCCATAGCCTTCCCGGCTTGTGGATCACAGTGGGCTCCAAAATCTTGGAAATTTCAGGTCGCAAATAATCCTTATACCAGCCTTTCCAAGTCAAGCCAGCAATGCCTTACGTGGCTGGCGTTGTGCTTTCAGCACTCGCCCGTTCAGCCCTTAGCACGGCCGCACCAGCTGCAAGCACTGGCTGCCGCGGATGCGTGCGCCGAAGACGACTTGGTAGGGATAGGGGGCTGGGCCATCACCTCCTCTCAGGTGGTTTGGTTTGCCGAAACCTGGAACATGCAGGACATACGGTCCGTGTGGCCTTGCCTTGTCAAGCCTGGACAGCGGTACATCGCATGTTTCGAGACGCTGGCGCAGTTAGCACTACTGCAAGCCACCCACAGCCACATTGGTGGTGGGCGCTATTCATTCAGCATGCCCTCAGGCACTGACAATTCCGCAACAGAAGCAAGCCTTAACAAGTTGTTCACGACCTCCTGGCCGTTGCAACTCTTCGTGCAGTTAACAGCCTTCTGGGCTCACGCTCGCAATGTGCTGCTGCAGCCGACGCACGTTCCAGGAAGGTGCAATGATTGGGCAGACGATCTCAGCAGAGGTCGGTTGGCCCGATTCAGCCATCGCCCTGAAAGTCGCATACGCTTCAGCCCTGCGGGCCTAGCAATGTCGGGCCGAGGCATTCAGCTGTGTCCGATTGATGCGCCCTGGCGCCCGGAACACCTGGCAGCTGCTTCCAGCGCTGCTTAGCCATGCCCTTTTTTGCATTCTAACATGCATTGCGACCAAATGTTCGCCCTGGCAACCGCACAACTGGCTGCGACAGCCAGCCGCTTGAAGTCAAGCCGCTCTGACCAAAAAAGTGCGGACACCGAGCAACAGGCTGCTCACAGCCGCAAGCGTGCATCGTCACGCGGACATTTGCCCTGCCAGGTACAACCCCACTCTGAAGGGCGGGTGATGACACTACTCACTTTTACCGGGGTTGCCTGAAACACTGAAGGGGGGGTCAACGCACCTCCTGTTCCAGGCGCACCTGTGCCCTGGAAGCAGTGCTACTTTCAGCAATCCCGGTAAAAAGAACTGCGGCCGCTTCGGACTTGCATTGTTCTTTTGGGTGTTCATGTTTGGGTTCAAGCTAGGAGCAGTGCAACATGCCTTAACGCTTAGGGTTTCTTTGCCCTTGTGTTTAGGGCATGTTGTGAATCGAACTACGCGGTGGCCGTTTTGCTCCTAAACCTGCGGTTTCATTTGAAACCCACCCACCCACCCTGCACTGCCTTATACAAGGCTCTGCAAGCAAAAGTCGCAGACGCTCTGCACTTTCGAAGGTGGTCTCCGGACCACTGGGTCTCCGGACCAGGTCTCCGGACCTGCATTGGTCTCCGGACCTCTCGGTCTCCGGACCGTTGGGCGTGGGCACGCATGCCACGCCCTGCAAGCACTGCATTCATTTGCAAGGACACGCATTGTCTTGCCTTTTAAGTTTCACGGGGGGTCAACGCACCTCCTGTTCCAGGCGCACCTGTGCCCTGGAAGCAGTGCTACTTTCAGCAATCCCGGTAAAAAGAACTGCGGCCGCTTCGGACTTGCATTGTTCTTTTGGGTGTTCATGTTTGGGTTCAAGCTAGGAGCAGTGCAACATGCCTTAACAGTTTGCACTTCAGGAAGGTCGCTCCCTGTCGGGACTCCTTGAGGCAGCTCTGCCACCCGTCCTTCACATCGCCGTAGTCGCCCCAAATGCGGCTCGACCGCGAAGACAGCTCGTTAACGCACCTCTTCTTGAATTCCTCCCAGGCCGCCCAGGCCTCGGAATCCCTTTCCATTGCAAGGCAGGCGTTCTGCCTGGGTCCTTGGTCCTCGCCGAAGCTGCTGGGCTCCCAGAGGACGTGAGTCCACGCGGACTGCCAGACGATGGCGCCCTTGGGGCTCGTGTGCACCTCGCCCAGGGCGACGCTAGTGGCGATGGTAGTCATCTTGACTCTTGCTTGCCAGTCCTTTTTCTATAGGGCGGACAACAAAATGGTCCGACCAAAGGGACGGCCCTCGGCTCACGCGGCTCGAGGGCCGCCATTTCCGGAAAAAACACCTTTTTGTTTGTTCTTCCGTAAATTCCGTTTTGCGTGGTTTTTGAGCGTGATTTTGCATGACAGGCGCCGGTGTTGTGTTTTTCTCACGATTTTCACGTTGTCGGTCGTGTTTGGAAAGAGCTTCCCCAAGCACGTGAGCCTTGTGAAGGCGAGATTCGGGGACGTTCTGGGGTCCGGGCGGCAGGGAACCGCTCGCGGGTGCAAAGGCGTGGTTCCAGACTCACAGTTTTTCTTGACCTCACGTGCCCTGTGCCCAGACTTCGACGTGCAGATCTTCTCGCAGCGCCGCGCTTTGGAGTTGCCTTTTTGTCACTTTTTGTTGGCCGCTTGCAGGTGGATCCAATTCGTGCTACTGGGGACTTTTTGGCTGGGCACCTGTGCGGATTGGTGTCAACTCGGCCTTTGAGCAGTGTTTCAGGTTTGGTCCTGGATTTTGAAGGTCGTTTTCGCGCTTCCCCGTGCCAGGCTTTGTTTTGACATCGAGGCATACTGCCCGGGCCTTCGCTGCTTCCGTTGTCATGGCCATCAATGCCAACTGATCTTTGAGGTTTGGGTCCCAACTCGCCAATCTGTCAGGCCCCCTGATCTTTGGCCTAGCGAGGCCCGGACACCCCCCCCGTCCCGTGCCAGGATTTGCGCGACTCGCGTTGCTTTTTTGTGTGCTTTTCCCAACCCCGTCAAGCCGCGCCGTCAGGCCCGTGTAGCTTTGGAAATCGTGACCTCGTTGAGCCAGGCCCGCATTTTGTATTGTCTCTCCAACCTGGTGAACCCTTGACCTTGAGAGCGATTGCCCCAACCCCGTCAAGTCGTACTGTCAGGTTTTTTGTAAGTCAGGCAGTGTGGTTTCCTCAAAATCGCCTTTTTTTTTCCTGGCGCTCAGGCACTCCGAACTTTTGAGCTTGCGCCTCGAGCTCCACGTTCGCCCGGGCCCTCGCCGCGTTCCATTGTCATGGCCAAGAGGTCCCGTGCAGGTTATTGTCATTTGATCTTTGTCACCAATCTGTCAGCCCCCTTGATCTTTGACCCAGTGAAGCCCTGACGGTCCGTCCCGAGGGTCCCTGGGGTCCCTAGGGTCCCTGGGGTCCCTGGGGTCCCTGGGTCCCTGGGCACGCGGGCGTCCGCTGCAGGTGCCATGAAACAACGTCCTTCCATCAAGACGTCTCGCCAGGGTCCCAAAGTGCATCCATCCTTGTCAACACCCGGCGTTTTCAGGGATTTTAGGGACCCCAGAAACCTTACGGACCCTAGGGACCTCAGGGACCCTAAGGGACCTTAGGGACCCCAGGGACCTTAGGGACCCCAGCAACCCTGGGTCTTGGGAAGTCATCTCTCAAGCTTCGGTTGGTTGCAGCTTGCCACGCAAGGAGACACAAAGACGCGCGGAAGGGCAAAGCTTCTGTTGTTTTTCCATTCGAGCAACTTTCCATACATCTATTTATCTTCGTGTACTCATATCTATTTATTTTCATACATTTGTATATTCATATCTCTACGTATTTGTATCTCTTTATGAATTTCATACATTTATATCTTTGTATTTCTACAAATTCATATCTTTATATCTTTGTATCTTTATACCTTTCTCTTTATATCTTTATATCTTTATGTCTTTGTGCCTTTATGTTGGTATGTCTCTACATGATGTTTTCTACATCCGTGTTTGTAGTTGGGAGATGATGTTGTGGTTTTGTGGCCCATTTGCAATGTGTGTGTGTGTCTTGGCTTCGGCATTTTGTGTTTTTGCATGACCCTATGATGCTGGAGAATGCCCAGGCTGAGTGGTGCCCGGCGTGAAGTTCTTGCCAAGATCCCTTCAAGCCCCAAAATCCTTGGGGCCACCAAGGATCTCTTGAAGTCCCTGGGTCGCTGGGTCCCTGAAGTCCTCGGAGTCCCTAGGGTCCCTAGGGTAGGGTTTGCAGGGTTGCTAGGGTCCCTAAGGTCTCTAAGGTCCCTAAATTCCCTAAGGTCCCTAAGGTCCCCAAGGTCCCTGAACCCGCCGTGCGTTGACAGGGACGAGCGCACTCTGGGGCCTTGGCGAGGCGTCTGATGCACATGTGTGCAGGGACCCCAGGGACTCTAGGGACCCTAGGGACCTTAGGAGGGACCCAGGGACCCCAGAGGCCCCAGTGATTGCAGGGACCAGGGACCCCAGAAACCCCCGCCCTTCAGCCCCTGGCGGCCCGGTGCCGATTTCGGCTGCTTGTTTTGCAGGCAGGCCAGTTTGGTATCTCGCTTGGACTTTGATGCAGCGGCAGGATGTGGGTGAGCCAGTCTGACGGATGGACGCTGCGAAGCCTTGCAAGGCTTGGCCCGACCGACCTTCAGGCCGCGAGTGAAAAGGAGGAGGAGCATCCAAACCCGTGCGTTGGTGTTGCCAAAGAAGCCAGTCAATCTTGTGTTTGCTCTGGAAACTTGGCTCGAGGGTACTCATCAACACTGACACAACAACAGCTCGCAAGGTTGCCCGATGGGTCTAGCGCCAGTGCTTGAGGAATCGCAGGCCGCTCAAGCGCTTTTCGAATAGCCATGGCGATGATGCGGACCAGGACCAAAAGCCGAGGCTGGCAAGCTTGTGACGCTACCGTGCCCGCGGTAGGCAGCGGCCAGGTATGTGCCTCTGCCTTCTCGGGATTGCATTGGCGCTGCTCGTGCAGCCGAGCACGGCCTGGGTCTTGGGACACATTTTTTTCGAAGGTTTTCGGGTTTCAGGAGTCCCTTGTCGCCGCCGCCCAGGACTTTGCTCGAGGAGTTCCTGGGCTGAAGGAGCATGATGTCCCTCCTTTGGATGTTCTTGTTTCGTGCTGAGTGCCAGGACAGCATATTGGCCCAGTTCTCAGAGTTGCCCGCAGGCGCAAGCAGATTGCACTTTGGCTCTTTCAGGCAAAACGGCACCCGTTGCATGCCGGAGTCGCTCGGCGCGCCGGGGCTGCGCAAGAGGACTCCTCCGACCCGAAGCCTGTTCGCATCTTTTGCCGGTTGCCGCCAGGACAACAGTGGCCAGGCCTGGGGGACACGTGCATCGGGCTTGAACGTTGGGCTTGTTGGTTGTCAGGACCGGCTCGATCTCGAGGAGGCGGCGGGCCTTCAGAGAAAGCGACGTCCCAGCCTTGTCTCGCTCAGGTGGTCGCAGAAGCCAAACGGGTTGTGGACAACGGCACGCTGAAAGACATGCAAGTGGTCATGCGCCGCTTTAGCAGCACGTCAATACGTTCGTTGTGGATTTGCAGGCGCGGTTGAGCTCAGGAAGAGTGCAGCTGGTAGATCCAGCAGGGAAGTGGAAGGTTTGGGTTAATGAGCCCGAATTGGAGAAGCAGCTACGGAAGTTTGTGGCAGAGGCAGCAGTGTTTGCTTCCTTTACCAACAGGTCAGATTCAGAAGCGCTTTCGTGACATTTTCAAAATGCACGTTTGTTGTGGGTGCTTTTCAGGCCAAAGCAGCCAAAACGGCATTGGAGGAGGCCGTCCGTTCGAGCGCGTTCGAGCGCTCGGCGTGGGAGTCGGCCTGGGCAGGACCTGCTCCTGGCGCGACAGCAGCGGAAGACGGGCCAGCGGCAGGTTGAGAGCGCCCAGCGGCAGGTTGAAAGCGCTCAGCGGCAGGTTGAGAGCGCCCAGCGGCAGGTTGAGAGCGCCCAGCGGCAGGTTGAGAGCGCCCAGCGGCAGGTTGAGAGCGCCCAGGAGCAGGAAGCGATGGCGGTGAGGCGTCTCGCTCGAGCTGCCACCGTCTTGGAGACGGCGGAGGACTCGGGCAATGCGACAAAGGTGCAGGAGGCCAAGGAGGAGGTGGAGAAGGCGGAGAGGAAGGTGGAGAGGGCGGAGAGGAAGGTGGAGAGGGCGAAGAAGGAGGTCCAGGAGGCGAAGAAGGAGGTGGAGAAGGCGAAGAAGGAGGTCAAGGAGGCGAAGGCAAGCGGCCGGACGAAGGAGTCCGAGGCGGGCGGAGTCGGTCGCTTCCGCCGGCCGGCTGCGTTCTGAGCCGTTGGTCGTTGTGTGTGGTTTTGAAAATTCCCCCCGCGGCCCGCACATGGTTTTGGTGGGGCTGCCCTGATCGCATCCAGAGAACCAGGAAATCCCAAGATAGCATTTTTGCAGATTGCGGCGGTTCGTGTCGTTGGCAGGCTCGGTAGGGACCCCCCATGAACGGATGGTTGCCTTTCCTTGTTGGAGGTCGGGGTTTAAAGCTGGTCGACATTGATTGAGACGTGCCGTTGATCGTTGTGAGTGATTTTGTGCTTGCCCCCAGCCTGCTTTTGAAAGAGCAAGACCTGCCCGTCTGCCGGGGAGAGGGAGGGCAAACTCTGATGTCTTTGCACCCATTGGGGCCCTTGCTGCTGCAGGCACAAGTGCATTCTATGAATGTTCTCTTTGATGCAGTGAGCTCAACCATTCCCGGCTTTGCATCCACTCGCAGTGTTCTTGCTCGATGTTTTGCCCGTTTTGCTGCCATTCCATCCCCTTCTGTTGTTCAATTTTCTCCGTACCTGTTCATATCTGCCTGATTTGGCGTGAGTGGTTAGTGGAGCGCAAAACTATCAAACAGTCGAGGGGGAACCCGCAAATATTGAAGAGCCTGCTGTTCCAGTCGCCTGCCTTTTGAAGAGCAAGACCTACCCTTCTGCCATGGTCGTTGCTGCTGCAGACACAATGCAATCCGAAGGTTAAATTTTGTTCCGACAGCACGAGCATGGAGAGATTGCTAAAGTGTGCACAATGTATTTCTGCTGCCGGGTGACGTTGAGACGTGCCGTTTGACGTTTTGTGTGGTTTTGATTTCCCCGCGGAAATGCTTTCAGTGGGGCTGCCCTGATCACATCCACAGAACCTCAACATATTTGACGCCACTCTCCCCCCTCATCAACCTTGTCGGGGTTCCTGGGAACTCAGTGGTTTTGCTCAGCGTGGAGCCCCACAAAAGGATTGTTGAGCTGAACCACGCATCTCCCGCTTTGCTTTCATGGGCAGTGTTCCTGCTGGAAATTTGGTTTTGTTTCGGTTTTGGTACCCTTGTGTTCCTTGCTTTCCTAGTGCTCGGCTTTCGCACTAAGTACGGTCCACCTTTTTTACTTTTTGGGGTCATGCTCTCCTCTCAGCAACGGTCCCCTCGTCGTTAAGCTTCAGTGTTTTTGCTTGCAGAGGGCTCTTGGCTGCTTTAGGTTCATGCAAATCTGGTTGCTCTTTGTGTTTGGCTGATGCTTCAGAACGGGGTGTCAGTCCTAGGTTCGAGGTGGGGAGGTCAGCCTGTTTTGCGCTCGCTTTGCGCTCGCTCTCCAGGTTGCGGTTGCTTTTGTTTGAGGCTCGACTTTAAGGTTACTGTGGGGGGGTCAAGCGAGTCAACCCTGAGTTCTTAGTGCTTGCCTTCAGCGCGCGGACCTTGAGAGCAGTGGGGTTCTGGAAGGGCTTCTGCGTGGGCATGTTGCCTTCGGTTTGTAGCACTCCTGCTTGTCCGGGGCTCTTGGTCGTCGTGCGTTTTCATGCGGTCCACCGTTGTTGCTTTTTGGCGTGATGCTTTCCTCTCAGCAAGGATCCCCTCGTCGTTAGGGTGTCTGCACTGTGTTGGCTTGCAGCAGTTCGGGGAGTGGGAGAGGCTTTCGGAGCGACGGCTCTTGGCGGTTCACAAAATCTGGTTGCACCCGTTCGTTTTGTCGAGTGGGAGGCACCTTTGCGGCTCAGGCAAAGGTTTCCTGCAAATCTGTTGCACCCGAATGCGGAGGGGTATCCTGTTTTCTCAACCCTGCGTTCATTCAGTCAAACTGGAGGTGAGAGAGGATGCGTTGCTCTCAGGCTACGGTTGTTTGTGCGCGGGAGGCTGTGGTTATGCATCTGTGTTTGTGTGCTTGGCCACCCTGCTGTCGCGATATCCTCGGTGGCTTTCTTGGTTTGTCGGGGTTGGGCTGTGGGCACAACCTTCGAGGTCAGACTGTGCGGGCTGTTGTTTAGCTTCAGCTTTGCAGCTGAGCTGCAATCTGGGAATGGATACCAGGCAGACTGGTTGTCGGGATTGGCTTTGGGAGCGGGTCAGGCAACCAAGACAAGTTCATTGTTTTGGGGTGCAGGGCTTAGGCCGTCGGGAGGCGTCTCCAGCTTTGTTGTGCGCAGGCGTCCGCCTCGAGTAGCCTCAAGTGGGTCGTGGACGCCAAGGACACGGCATTTGCCAACGAGCTGCGCATGGCTCAGCCGCTGACGGCTCTGGACTGCGCTGATGAGAATTTCACCGACGTAGAGTCCGCAGAAGATGCCGGTATCGAGATCTTCCCGTTGAACGCCAGCTTGGATCCGAAAGAAGCCAAGCCATGGCTCTTCGTTCGAAAGCAGCAACGAGAGGTCTGGCAGGCGGCCTTCAATGCGTCGCAGGATGTGGTGGTGACCGGCTCGCCCGGCATCGGCAAATCCTTCTCCATGTCCTTCTTGTTCCGCGACCTCATGAAAGCAAAGAAGACCTTTGTCTTCGAAGCACGCAGGTGGAACATGGTGTACTTGTTCAAGCCGCGCACCGACGGCACCTACGAGGTCGGCAGCATGCAACTGGAAGACTGGAAACCGGCAGCGTGTGACGAGCTGAGAGTCCCTGCGAACTACTATGTCATCGACCCCGGCGAGGCTGAAAAGGGAGGCGTCTGCTTCGTAGCGGCCAAGACTGTCATTTGCCCGTCACCGGATCCGCAGCACCTTGGAGAGTTCAAGAAGCTCCCCAAATGCAAACTGTACATGGCAGCTTGCTCCTTGCAGGAGGCCCAGTGCATAGTCAAGTACCTCCGCCCCAACTTCGACCAGAACCAGGTGGAAGAGCTCTACAGGCGATTTGGTGGTATTCTTCGACACCTGATTGGCGACCCTAAGGAGGTGGAGATGGCTCGCAATGCAACCCTGTCGAACCAGAACTTGGTCAGGCAAGTTTGGACATCGGGCATCATTGATCAGGGACGTGATTTGAAGCCTGCGCACTGGCTCTTCCAGATAGTGCCGGAAAACGGTTGCACCAGCAGCAGGGTTGAGTTTGTTAGCGAAGAGGCACTCGACCTCACCATTCACGAGTATGAGGCGGAGCTGGCTGACCTTTTGACATCGTTTGATCCGCTTGCAAAGCCCGTCCTCGGAGTTCTCTACGAACGCTTCGCCCACCAAGTGCTCTGCCGGGGGACGTTGCTGCTGACGCGGCTGGCCAACGTCACCGTTCCCATGTTCGAGATGCAGCTTCCACCACTCGATGAAGAGGTGGTGGACGGCAGCATCGCCGATCTTTTCACAGCTGCCACCACTGGGCAGCTACGATACATGCGGCCCAGAGATGTGGGCCTGCCGGTCATTGATTCATGCCTGGCTCCTGTTGAGGACCCGAACAGCATGTGTTCTGTCAAAGTGCCTGCGCTGGTGTGCAGTGCTTGCGTTTTGTGCCCCTGGTTTTTCCCATACCCCTAAGGACGGCGTGATGACATGCTTCCAGATCACCGTCAGCGCAAAACACTCCCTGGATCTTGTCGCCTTGGAGAATGCTGCACGGGGTCTTGACATCGCCAAGATTGTTATTTACTGGGTCGTTCCCAGAGACAGCTTTCGAGAGTTCAACCGCAAGCAGACGTTCGGGCCTCAACTTGTATTCGAGCAGCGCGTCCTTTCGCTCGCTGCTCCCCGCAATCCCTTTACCGAGCAGGAGATGCAAGAACGGTTGCAGAAGGCTGAGCTCTCTAAGCTTACCACAGGAGACGAGCAGCTCCTCAAGCAAGAGATTGATGACCTGAAGCTCCGGTACTTGGTTATGAAATCTTTCGAAGAACAAGATGTCAAGGACATAATGAATAAGGTGTTAAAAGAAGGGAAAAGAGCGAAAAACCAGGATCCCGTGGCTCTGCGCGCAGCACGAGCTTGGGATAAGATTGTTGCCTGTATGGCTTGGACGAAAAAGAGAGGCGAGTGCAAGCTTGCAGCGTAGGTGCCAGCCTAATCTGCAGTGTCGATCACGTTGCCAGGCCTGATCAGCCCGGGCGTGCACTTTTGCTTGGCCGGATTTTGCGTTACTCGACGAAAAGCGTGTGCCCCACAGTTGGCCGGTGGATTTGCTTTCCACTGCTTTAGAACAGCGCGAATCATGATTTCATGTCGCATATCTTTATCTTGACATTCAGCGCACTCAGGCTCTCGACACATGGAGTTTTTGCATAGAGTTTGCTGCAAGCTGGACCATCACACTGACACGACAATGCAGCACTCATCGTCAGAATATCGCTCTTTCGGTTCAAGTCTGCAGCACACATCTGCGTGTTGGAGTTCCGGTTCGAGTCGGCGCGCATCGGTGAAATTTCGGCTAGTCTTTTGGAATCTTTCTGGAATCTTTCGACTCTATGTGTTGAGTCTTTGTAGAGTATCTGTGCAAAACACAGTCTTTTTGAAGTCTTTGTATTTCTCGAGTCTAGCACTCATCATTTGACGGCTGTGGCGCTTTCCGAGTCGAATCTTATGAGGACGACCCGCCCAAAGCCGTAGTGGAAGTCTAACCTTCAAAACTCCACCCCGCCAGGCCGCACTATGGCCCAAAAGATTTTGCGAGCTTTTTTCGCGCACTTTTGGGCCTTCTAGAAGCCAGCGCCGGGGCTGCAGGGCCGCGTTTGGGAAAGGGTTGGAGCCGGGGCGGGGCGGAAGGACTTACCCCGGGAACGAAACAGCCGGGGGGCACGCTGCAACGGGGGTAGTTTGGAAAGCCAAATATAAGACAGAGGGGGGGGGGCTCCGCCCTCCCTCAACCCCCCCCGCAGGGAAGGCTGCGCTCCCCCTCAACCTCTCCGCTTTTTTTTATTAGCCGAACACGTACGCGGTCAAATTCGAAATTGATTCTTCTGGCTTATACTACTGCCAAAAATGAGGATGCTCTTCACTGCGCTACTTACTACTCCCTCTTTGACTTAACTGATCTTCCATTTGCTTAAACAGGTTCATGGAGGTGTGAAAGTTACCCCAAAAAACTAATCTTTTCTCTTGCTTAAGGAGGTCTAAGATGAAATCCCCTTAAAACCACCATTAAGCTAACTCTCTTTAAAAACTCTTTTTCTTTCTCGCTTACTGACATCAATAAAAGAGGGCGTGATTTCATATTTTCGCTTTACGATGTTTCAAAGAGGGCAGATTTTCAGAACAAGCTTCCTTCTCTTAGGCACTTCTTGAGTCTTTCGAAAAGCCCACAAGACACTAACTCCCTTCAAGTTCTCCTCTCAAGTTCTCAACTCTCTAAGCTTCTTCCATCAGTTTCCCCTAAAGCGGTCCCTAATTCTCTTTAAGCCATCTTTTAAGCCTTCTTAAGTTCCATCAAACCTGCTAAAAAAGAATGCGGCTTGAAGGAAGCTTTAGAAGAGAGTTGAAGGGGAACTTGAGAAAGAAGACTTCTCAAAATTGAATTCGAGGAAGGTTAGAGGGTTCAGCCATGGCCCTAGCGTGGCAAAACTTTGTCAGGATGACTCCCAATGGATTTACATTTGCTGGTGTGTGTCGCAGGGTTTCCCTCCCGTGGCAAAACCCCGTCCATGAGCTGGACTATGCCCGACAGAAATTCCTGGCCACTGCAATCGATGACACCGAAAAAGATGAACTGACAGACTTGCTTGGCGAGGTCCGATCTGTGCCATTGATGGCATACACAGCAGCAGTGTGGAAGGACGAACAGTCCAAGATTGACACGCAAAAACGAGTAAACATGAAGTTGAGAGATGAGTTTGTGACGGAGATGACCCCTTTGCTGGGGGACCCAAGTTGGTCCAATCCACAACGTTTGCAGTACATCCGAGACTTGGCCATTGGTCAGGCAACCTCTGACCCAGCAGACTTTTTTGATGAGACCGTGTACGACTGCTTCTTCAAGCCATATATTTATGAGGCAGACGGCAAGTTTTCCTTTGCAAGCAACCCGTGGACTGTTTGCGTAGCATACTGCGTAGACGCGAGCGGGACACTGCTGAAACAAAACAAGATGTTCCACATGTCATGTCATGCAAAAACAAGCTGTTCCACGTGTCATGCCATGCAAAAAAACAAGCTGTTCCACGTGTCATGTCATGCAAAAAACACAATGCAAAACCGTGCAAAAACAAGCTGTTCCACATGTCATGCAAAAACCATGCAAAATGCGGCGCGTACGTTGGCGTAGCGTCGGCGCGTACGTTGGCGTGGCGTCTATGCCGGGCAGGTGGCGCGGCCGGGCTTCTATGCCAGGCAGGCGCGGCAGGGTGGCGCACCCGGAGTGCCCAACCGCCACCGTATGACCGTATGATCCGTATGATCCGTATGACTCGGCGGGCTGGCGTGTCAGGCGCGGCTGGAAACAGGCACCAACCATTTTTTGGTTGCTGCCCGCGTGGAGTTCCGCGTGGAGTTCCCCTCAATCCTGGGGCCACAACAGGATTGAAGGGAGCAATCCTGGGGCCACAACAGGATTGAAGGGAGCAATCCTGGGGCCACAACAGGATTGAATCCAAGAACATGTTCATCCGACATGTACTCCGACATGTTGAAGAAATTAAGCGTATAGCAAGGAATCCTGGGGGAATTTCAATGCAGGGACACTGCAGGGAATCCCTGCATTCCCTGTATCTCTCTCTTTAGAGGGGGTTTCCAAATGGCTTATATTCTACCTGAGAGGCTCCTAGCACTCGTCCGTCCAGCATTTGACCTCGTCCTGCGAAGGATTCGAAGTCTAAAACGCTGCGTGGAGGCGTGAGGCTGCAAAATAGAGACCCCTAGATATGCGCTGCAATTTGGCTCCAGGTTGCATTTCAAGCGATGTCAAGCTTTGCCAAAGGAAACCCCTTTTCCCTTTTTTTCGGGGACCCCTTTTTTTGGGACCCCTTGTTTTCTTTTTTTTTGTTTTTCTTAGCCCTGCAAAGGTTGGCTCGCTTGAAATGCAACCTGGAGCCAAATTGCAAGCATATCTAGGGGTCTCTATTTTGCAGCCACACGCCTGCACGCAGCGTTTTAGACTTCGAATCCTTCGCAGGACGAGGTCAAATGCTGGACGGACGAGTGCTAGAAGCCTCTCAGGTAGAATATAAGCCATTTGGGAAACCCCCTCTAAAGAGAGAGGCGGGCTTCCCGACAGAGCGCGTGCCCAAGATGCCCCTCAGTGGCGTCAGCACTCGTTCGGGCGACCTGGCTCGGTTCACTTTCAAGGCGCTCGACGGCACGATGACGGATGTGTTCATCCACCTGATAGCCTATCAGCTGGTGACGCTCTCTGGCACGGGAGTCTCCGTGCTTGACTAGTAAGGGTCCATAGCTCAATTGGTAGAGGCTCTACAGCTCCGAAGCCTGGAGGCCGCAGGCTCGATTCCTCCCGGGCGCGGATCATTTTTCGCAGGCGAGTGCCTTTTGGGTATTCTTTTTCCTCCCTCTACCCGAGACGGATCTTCCCATTTGCTGGGGGCAAGAAATTGCCGAGACGGATCTTCCAGCCTCCAGCCCGGTGAGCGCCACTACCTAGGAGACTTTAAATCCAAGGTCCGAGACGGATCTTCCAATTTGCTGGGAGCAAGAAATTGCCGAGACGGATCTTCCCGCCTCCAGCCCGGTGAGCGCCTCTCCTTAAAAGACTTTAATTCCCAGGTCCGAGACGGATCTTATTGCCTCCAGCCCGGTGAGCGCCTCTCCTGGGAGCGAGAAATCCCCGAGACGGATCATTGTGGAGAGACGGATCATTGTGGAGAGACGGATCTTTCCGCCTCCAGCCCGGTGAGCGCCTCTCCTTAAAAGACTTTTATTCCCAGGTCCGAGACGGATCTTATTGCCTCCAGCCCGGTGAGCGCCTCTCCTGGGAGCGAGAAATCCCCGAGACGGATCATTGTGGAGAGACGGATCATTGTGGAGAGACGGATCTTTCCTCCGCCAGCCCGGTGAGCGCCTCTCCTTAAAAGACTTTAATTCCCAGGTCCGAGACGGATCTTATTGCCTCCAGCCCGGTGAGCGCCTCTCCTGGAGCGAGAAATCCCCGAGATGGATCATTGTGGAGAGAACGATAAGTGGGGGGTGGGGGGGGGGGAGGGGGGGGGATCATGGTGGAGAGACCGGTATCTTTCCCGCTCCAGCCCGGTGAGCAGCCTCTCCTTAAAAGACATTAAATATTCCAGTCCGAGAACGGAATGCTTCCAGCCTCCACCCGGTGAGCGCCTCTCCTGGGTGCGAGGAAATCCCCGAGACGGACATTGTGGAGAGACGGATCATTGTGGAGAGACCCGGAATCTTCCCGCCTCCAGCTCGGTGAGCGCCTCTCCTTAAAAGACTTTAATTCCCAGGTCCGAGACGGATCTTATTGCCTCCTGGAGAGACGGATCATTGTGGAGAGACGGATCTTCCCGCCTCCAGCCCAGTGAGCGCCTCTCCTTGGGAAAGTATTTCCCCAGGCCCGAGACGGTTCTTTCCGCCTCCAGTGAGCGCCCTGGCGGGCTAGCTTGTTTTTGCACGAATTTGCATGGTTTGACATTATTTTGCTTGATTTTTCGCATGACAAGGTTTTGCACGGATTTTGACATGATTTTGCTTGATTTTCGCATGACAAGGTTTTGCACGGATTTTGACATGATTTTGCTTGATTTTCGCATGACAAGGTTTTGCACGGATTTTGACATGATTTTGCTTGATTTTCACATGACACGATCTTGCACGGTTTTGACATGATTTTCGCATGACATGGTTTTACATGCTTGGAATCGGCATGCGCTTCACCCCCCCCCCCCCAACACGCCCCCCCCCCTGAGTTTTTTCCTGTCAGGCTGTCGTACGTGTCAGGTCCTGGAGAACTTCGTGGGGTGGGAGGCGGGGCAGTGCCGAGCGGGCACTTGTAACTAGACGTGCCGAGCAGGCACAGTGCCGAGCGGGCACTTGTAACTAGACGTGCCGAGCAGGCACAGTGCCGAGCGGGCACTTATAGGTAGACGTGCCGAGCGGGCACAGTGCCGAGCGGGCGCACTTAACAGGTAGACGTGCCGAGCGTGCACAGCTCCGAAAAAAGCGGCACTAGTAGGTAGACCGCTTGTAATGTAGACAACTTGTAGGTAGACGAGCCGATGCTGGGCCACTTTGTAGCTAGACTGCGCGAGCGTCACTAGACGTTACCGACAGGCGCACCTTTGTAGCTAGGACTGCCCGGTGCCGAGCGGGCACTAGGACGTACCGAGCGGGCACTGTGCCGAGCGGGCACAGTGCCGAGGGTACCCGGTGCCGAGCGGGCACCGTAGGAGCGAGCAGCACCTAGCAGGCGACGTTGTGTTGTGGGGCCACTGTGATATAGGCGGCCACAGTACAAGCGGTTGAGCGTGCGCTTTAGTACGCCTCCGCCCAACCTCGTTTGATACAGGCTCGCCCAACCTCATTTGATGCTGGCTCGGTCGGGTTTTTTTAAGTACTGGTTAGCCCAACGGGTCCGGGCGGGATCGTTTTTTCGAGTACTGGTCTGCCCAAAGGGCCCGGCATTTTTGGCTTAGTACTGGTCTGCCCAACGGGTCTGGAGGGGTTTCGGATTTTTTTTAAGTTCTGGTTTGCCCAGCACGTCTGGAAGGGGTTTCGGATTTTTTTTTCGAGTACTGGTCTGCCCAAAGGCTTCGGGGGTTTTGGCTTGGTACTGGTCTGCCCAACGGGTCTGGAAGGGTTTCGTTTTTTTTCAAGTACTGGCCTGCCCAACAGGTCTGGAGGGGTTTCGGATTTTTTTTTTTCGAGTACTGGTCTGCCCAAAGGGCCCGGCATTTTTGGCTTAGTACTGGTCTGCCCAACGGGTCTGGAGGGGTTTCGGATTTTTTTAAGTTCTGGTTTGCCCAGCACGTCTGGAGGGGTTTCGGATTTTTTTTTCGAGTACTGGTCTGCCCAAAGGCTTCGGGGGTTTTGGCTTGGTACTGGTCTGCCCAACGGGTCTGGAAGGGTTTCGTTTTTTTTTTCAAGTACTGGTCTGCCCAACAGGTCTGGAGGGGTTTCGGATTTTTTTTCGAGCACTGGTCTGCCCAAAGGGCCCGGCATTTTTGGCTTAGCACTGGTCTGCCCAACGGGTCTGGAGGGGTGTGTCGCTAACTTTTTTCAATGACTGGCCTGTCCAACAGTCTGAGGGGTTTCGTTTTTTTTTTTCGAGTACTATGGTCAGCCCAAAGGCCCGGCATTTTTGGCGTGTGTAACTGGTCTGCCCAACAGGTCTGGAGGGGTTTCGGTTTTTTTTTTCGAGTACTGGTCTGCCCAACGTGCCTGGGGGGTTTCGTTTTTTTTAAGTACTGGTTCGCCCACCGGGTGCGGGGGGGTTCGTTTTTAAGTACTGGTCTGCCCAACGTGCCTGGGGGGTTTCGTTTTTTTAAGTACTGGTTCGCCCAACGGGTGCGGGGGGGTTCGTTTTTAAGTACTGGTCTGCCCAACGTGCCTGGGGGGTTTCGTTTTTTTAAGTACTGGTTCGCCCAACGGGTGCGGGGGGGTTCGTTTTCAAGTACTGGTCTGCCCAACAGGTCTGGAGGGGTTTCGGATTTTTTTTTTTCGAGTACTGGTCTGCCCAACGTGCCTGGGGGGTTTCGTTTTTTTAAGTACTGGTTCGCCCAACGTGCCTGGGGGGTTTCGTTTTTTAAGTACTGGTTCGCCCAACGGGTGCGGGGGGGTTCGTTTTTAAAGTACAAACTGGTCCCGGCCAACGTGCCTGGGGGATTCGTTTGTTTTTATAGGACTGATCGCACCATCGGTGCGGGGGGTTCTTTAAGTACTGGTCTGCCCCAAACATGCTGGGGGTTTCGTTTTTTTAAGTACTGGTTCGCCCAACGAGTGCGGGGGGGTGCCGTTTTTAGTACTGGTCCTGGCCCAACGTGCCTGGGGGGTTTCGTTTTTTTTAAGTACTGGTTCGCCCAACGGGTGCGGGGGGGTTCGTTTTTAAGTACTGGTCTGCCCCACGGCTCATGACCCAACCAGACGAAGGGCGTCGGAGTTTTTTTAGGCCCTTGTAGGAACCTA